TCTTGTTGAGAAATTCAAGAAGGGAAAAGTAAGCCAAAACAAACTTTTGGTGGGTACAGTAAAAACATGAGCATTATTAAGGGAAGGTCCACCTGGAGATGCGTGAGGTGCCATTAAAGGTCTTGTTTATTATGAATTTAATTTGTTATTGACTGATTTGCTTGATATGGGCGGCGCGTGGGCTCGGCCGGTCGATATTTTGACGGGCGGCGTGGCTTCGTCTGCCTGCCTTTGTCTTCTCCGTCAGCTTTGGCCCCCACTTATAATGGCATATTCGAATCCCCTATGTTGGTTCTCTTCCCTGTTTGTTACGGGTCTTTTTACTAACTCGGTGGTTGGTTAACCTGACTGAGTTAACTCAGTCAACTCGGTTGGTTCTTTCTATTATATGAGTGTTTTTCCTCTTTTTTTCAACAAAAAAAACTTCTGGAAGTTTTTTGCTTTTTTTTTTTTTTCCAAAGACTCTTCTTTTAGCATTTTTCTAGATTCTATTTTCAAATAGCCAACATGGGTTTGTCTTATTCGTCATCTGTCCTTTGATCCTTTCTTGAATTGTGTTACGAGTTTTGTTAAGTATAAGACTTAATTTGACAGTTTTATACTACCTCCTGTTCATTATAAATGTCGTTTTGACTTTTGTGATTCATCCATTTTATTATGTATCTAGACATTAATATGTCTAGATACATAACAAAATGGATGAATCAAAAAAGTCAAAACGACATTTATAATGAATAGGAGGGAATAATATTTAGTCATGAATTAAGAAAAAAAAATTTTAGCTCCGATTTGATAACTTACCTATCTTTCAGGTCTTGTATTAAAAAACTTCATAAATAAATTAATTAATTAATAACATTTAGAGGATGACGAGGGCACTAACAATTTGTGGATTTTCTTGTTCTTTTTTTTTTTTGTTTGTAAATGCAAATTGGAATAATAAAAAAAAAGTAAATTATCAAGAAGAATTGAATTCCAATATTTTGTACGAAAATGAAACGAATAAAGTTACAAAAATTATTCCCACCTCGTGCTCCATGAATGGTGCTAAGTACTCTTTTTTCCTAATTTGTCTTGGTGTGTTAGTCGAAACTTGGTACAACACAAATTGGTGCCACAGTATCTTCTTCTATAGTGTGTGTGTGTGTGTGTGTGTGAGAGAGAGAGAGAGATGATAGTTAACACTTTTTTTGGTTCAACTTTGTTTTGTCGGACTGTAACTTGCAAAATCCAGCTGATTACCAAACTTTTTTCTTTTTAGCTATAAGCTTTTGAATTAATACCACATAGAATTTTAATAATGGATGGATGAAAAGAATGTAAAGAATTACGCAAATAATTAGATGCGCCCTGGCACACCTAGCAGTCTTTTTTAAAATGAACATGTTACGTTACAAAATGAATATGTAACGTAACATGTTCATTTTAAATTGCCTTGTGCCAGGGGACACGGTAGTAGCACTGAAAGAATTAGGCAAACTTTATCTGCTGCGCACAAGTACAAAGTCCGAGGTTATGTGCCAGTGAAATAAATGGTCCTTTAATAAACCCTGCACTGCACACACCTATTCAATCTTTAATGTACTGATTTTTATGAAGGATAATAATAATAATAATGTATAAAGATTGGATTTTTAAATTGTACATATCCTTCAATTATGTGAACCCAATTTGCTGAATTCATAGGCATTACCATATTTGTTGGAACTGAAAATAACTGGAGATAGTTAAAATATGAAATTGCAGAAAAATGTTTTTCTTATTTATTCCTATTTCTGTATTTTCATCAACTCAGGGTCCCAAGAAGTGCAGCATTTACCCGACAACATTGAAATATGCTCCAATCACGATTTCTGTGAGGCTCGCCGTGCCCAGATCAAGATGATAAAAGGGTTCGTGGCAAGGGAGCCAGTGAAAGGAAACACGGCAAGTCCCTATTATTTCTCGACACAAAACATTTTAATAATACATGTGTGTGAGAGAGAGAGAGAGAGAGAGAGAGAGAGAGAGAAGAGATATTTTATTATTACCTGAAGTGTGGTTTGCCAAAAATGCAGGTGAATGTCGTTAGAGGTCTGAAGTTATACGAGGACATATTCACTGATGGCGAGCTGTCGAAACTGAACGACTTTGTGAATGAACTCCGAGCGGCTGGTCAGAATGGTCAACTCTCAGGTGGCTCCCCCCTGTGAAAAAATGATTCAGTGATGCTTTTACAGTTTTTATTAAAAAAACTAGTTCTGTTTCGTTTTCGGCCAGAAGTATGAGAATTGTACAGGGCATCTTCTATAGGTTATGCTTGAGCAGGTTTGGGCAAATTCATTGTACTTTCATTAAGATCTCTCTCTACTTTTCATGAATTGCACAGGGATGAAAAAATATTTAATATGAATATAATGACTGACATTTAATTTATAGTTTATACACTATGTTATGCTGTGCAGCTCTATCTTTTCTGTAAAGTAACCCATAGTGGTATAATCGTTCTACTTTGGTTTCAGGGGAGACCTTCATTTTGTACAATCAGCAGACGAAAGGGAACAAGAGAGAGTTGATTCAGCTTGGGGTACCGATTTTCGGAAAGATTAAAGAAGATGAAGCAAACACAGTCCAGAAAAGTACGGCATTGTTATAATTTATCTCTTTGGTTTTTTTAGCTGACATCATGGGATTTTTCTGAAAATGTTTTTTCTTACCCGTATGGCGCACAGGCTATATTGAGCCGATCCCAGCTCTTCTACAAAGCGTAACGGAGCACTTGATCCAGTGGCGTTTAATACCTGAAAATACGAGACCAAACAGCTGCATCATTAGCTTTTTCGACGAGGTTTTTATATTAGAGTTTTGATAAAAGCAATTCAATTATCCCTTTCTACTTCTGTTATGTTCTGTTCTGTTGTCCATGTTAGATAGATAAGCATCTGAACCAAATCGTTTTTTTTTTTTTTGGACATCATGTAGGGAGAATATTCTCAGCCCTTCCTAAAACCACCTCACCTGGAGCATCCTCTCTCCACTCTCCTCCTCCACGAATCAACCATGGCTTTCGGCCGAACGCTCGTGAGCCATGGTGAAGGGAACTACAAGGGATCTCTCAATCTTTCTCTGGAGAAAGGGTAATAACTAATAACTAATAAAAAGTGCAATCCACTTGGTGTCAATACTAAACTTCACTTCAAATTTAATTATACATAAAAAAAAAAAAAAAATCTCAGGTCCCTTCTTGTCATGAGAGGCAACAGTTCAGAAATTGCAAGGCACGTCATGTGCTCGTCCCTAAACAAAAGAACGAGCATCACCTTCTTTCGGGTCCGAGCCGATTCGTCTGAGAAAAACCACTCGCCTCTTTCCAAAGCAATGACCTTATGGCAACCGGGTGTACCTGCACCATACACGGGCCCAAATAACTACGAGCCCATGAGTATGGTGCCCAAGTGGGGTCTACTGAGGTCCCCGATTGTGATGCTGGGGCCCGTTCGCCCATTGGTCGTGAGCCCGGGAAGGGGCCCACAAGGTGGGACGGGAGTTTTCCTGCCGTGGGCCGTTGGGTCGAGAAAGCACACGAAGCAACTGCCGCCACGCGCGCAGAGGGGTCGTTTTCTGGCACTGCCTTCGCCTGTCGGCTCGGGAAAAAACGAGGCCGCAGGATCTGATTCGGGGTTCGGTAGTTCTTGAAGAAGGGGGGTTCATGGAATGGTGAATGGTTTTGTGATTAATCTCTGCATCAGGGCTTTTTTCTTTTTCTGTGGTTTGTTGTTTGAGTTAGGTAGGAATTGGTGGTGGTTATACCCTTTTTTTTTTTTCTCGTGTTTTTTTCCGGTGAATGTCAGAAACAGTTAAGGTTGAGGTTAAGAGGGTTTGTTATGGGTTTTGATCCTGATGTTTAAGCATGGAAAATTGTATCTGACTTTGGTTTTTTTCTTTCTTTTTCTTGAGGAATTATGGGTTGTGCTTAAGCTGAAGGTTCTAATGTTTGTTTGTTCCTGTCATGGGAAGGCATGTCTTGATCCAGGTTGTAAGGAAAAAAAAAAAGGCCTCTGAACACAGGTTTCTTTTCTGAGAGCAATTTAGAAAATAAGAATGTGCTTGTACAGAGTGACCACAACGAAAGATGCCATTTCTGGGAAGAGATTGATCAAAGGTACAATTGCATTTACCAAACTGAAAGGTTACACTTGAAAGCAGATAATATGTAGCCCATATTACACAACAAACTCGAAACATGAAACATAAACTCGAAGTGAATGAAGAAACCACAGGGAACAAATTCAACATTTGCTCACTCTGACAATGACTGGTACTGCTACAGAACCACAAGAACTGGAGGGAACTTCATCAGGTGATTGAGGACTGCAACTCAATTCCTCCATTTGATCAGAAAGAATATGAAAAACGAAAAAGGAATGAAATACATTCACCACTTTTGATAAATATATGATGCTCATATTTACTTAGTGCAGATCACCTTGATCTGATCATCAATTCTCCAGTTCCCTTATTCAACTTTAACAGTTTTTATCAGATTTACCGAGGCATCTTGGTAATCTACACTTCTTGATTCATGCAACTTCACGGTTTTTTCACAGGCTCATCGTCATCTTCAATATCCCAACTCAAATCCTCATCATCTTCCCCAACACTCAACCGTTTCCTCATCTCAGTTCTGTCCAGACTGCTACTTTGAGCAGTTGACGAGACTTTTTTCTCGTCGTCACTTCCAATGTCCTCAATTTCATCCCACCCTAAATCTTCCTCCTCATCCTCCTTCACCACCTTAGGCTGATCGCCCGACGAAACAGAAGAACCATTTTTCTCAGAAGAATTTACCTTCTCATTCACAATCACCTTCTCATCACTATTATCCTTCAGATTATGTTCAGCTTCCACTTTCTCATCCTTTTTCACTTCGGACTCAACTTCTTTCTGATCCAATTTCTCATCCTTTTTCACTTCGGACTCAACTTCTTTCTGATCCAAAGCAACATTTTTCGCATTATCATTTCCGGCTGACTCAACCTCGTCTCTTTCCTTAACCTCGTTTCTTTCCTTAACCTCTCGTGACTCAACGTTCAAAGCCTCGTGCTTTTCACCGGTACTCGATTTATTATCGGTGACGACATTATCTCCTTTTGCCACATTCACACTACCCGCATTGCTGTTACCAGCCACATCTTCATCCTCATCATCATCAAAATCCCAGGACAATTCCTCCTCATCATCCTCAACGGTAATAGCTCGCTTCACGAGATTTGCCCTCACGCTCTCCTGCTGCTTGATTTTATCCACTCGGTAAAAGTACCTACACCAGAAAGTCTCTGGATCAACAGCACCGGGGACAAACTTCTTATAAACGCCCTCAAGATTCCCGTTTTCCCCGACCAAACCATCGATTTCATCCTTATTCTTCTCCAAATCAAACCCTGATTTCCACTTCCCATACTCTTCAACATCCTCTGGATCCTCACAGAAAGTAGCCGGATCACTCTGAATCGCACCCAGCTGAGCTTCGAACCAGCTGTACCGAGCCGAGCTCAAGCTCAGATTGGTCCCCGGCGTCTCGGATTCACCGTCGGACGTGGGACCCAGTGATTCCTTTGCAACGATCTCGGCCTTCAACTTCAGGGCTTCCAGCGCGCCTTGAGCCACCGACGCACTGGCTTCGAGCGAGGCCGGGAGATCCTTCACGGCTCGGCTTGCCGATTCGCGCAGTATCTCGCTCTCCTTCTTGAGGCCCGACCCGAATTCCTTCAGATCCCTGCGGTACGTCTCGATCACCGACTCGATCGCGAGGGTCTTGATCAAGCCACCGAAACCCCACCCGCCGGCCGCGTCGTCCGATCCCCTACCGTCGCCGATCGATTTGAGCGGGGAATCCGAGTCGGATTCGCGAGGGTTATCCGTTTGGGGAGGATCCGGATCGTCTGATAGGATTGATTTGAAGAAATTCATGGCGAGAATTAGGGGGATAATGAATTTGGGATTAGGGTTTCCTGATTGAATTGATATATCTGCAGATTGGTTTGCAGACACGGTGGGTACTGATGATGGCGGCCAGTCAGAAATGCGCTTTGTTGACTTTAGATTTGGGCTGTCCCGTAAACTTATTGGGCTTAGCAGCCCATGTATGTGCGTTTGAGTAGTAACTTAAATGGGCCTGTATATTTTCAGAAAATAAACTAAATATTTAGGTTTTTCCATATTTAAAACACCAATTTTAGTTAAATTCACCATGGAAAAACCCAATTGTTAATTAATTTAGCTATGAAATTTCATAAGTTTTATTAATAAAACATGACATTTCAATTTGAAAATGTCTACATACCTTGAATAAATATAGCTGATTGTCTAACCATTAGACGATGCTAATACACATTGTTCTGTACACAGTTTCACAATAATTGAGTGGCTTGCTTTTCTCTGATTCCAAATAAAAAGTGAGCATAATAAATCTTCATCTACACTTGCATATGGCCTTAAATTAAAGATGCTACATGGTGTAAAATAATATTAGTATTATTATTATTGCTATTATTATTATTATTATTCTCATTATCCCCTATATATTAATACAGAATGCGTTGAGCCTACGTGGTTGTTTCTGGTGCTTCGGAATCCTATGTGGCAAAATTACATGCTTCGTTATTAGGCTTAGGTAGATTTTAATTTAATTCCAAACCAAAAATAATTAGGTTCGGATTACCATAAATATGTTGATTATTTATGGTCATGTTACATGCAT